CAAATGTGACAAATTTGAGTGATGGGTCTATTCTTCTCCCACTAGTGAAGAAAGCCCTCAGGAGGGTATTTTGGTTTAATTTTGACATACTTCTAACGCCTTTATGACCACCCCTTATTCTCTCTCCATCTACTAACCATGTAGTTTAAATATTGCTTCAACCCAAAAATTAGTCATTGAGAAGATAAGTTAAATAATCTCCCCAATTCTGCCTCAGACATTCTCGTCTGGTCTTGTCGCAGCCACGAAGGTTTCATAGCTAAACTCACTGTTCTCCTTATTCTTCACCACCACGTGACCCCATTCTATTGAGGATTCTAAGGATCGACAGTCAGTGACTCTATCCGGTGACTACTTCAAGATCGCGATGTATATATCTCTTTCATCCAAAATCTTCCTTTCGGATTATTCTCCTTGATTTTTCCAAATTCACCGTTCATGATCACTTTGATTGTAAAATTTTCATCGAACCTAGATGGTCTCTCTCATAGACCATCCCTCACTTATACATATAATATACCTTAGGCATTTCTTCTCCACCATACTCCCTCACAATATCCATATATTCACTCTTATGAATAATAGGAAATTTAACCCAATGAATTCTTAGAAAAGTTTCATCATTCATCCATCCACACACAATCACGTCCAAGTGAATCTTAGAAAAAACAAGATCATCTACAATACACACAAATTTGGCCGTTCCACCAACATCTTTCTCTACTCCCTGCTCATTACACAATCCCGGGGTTACACTCAAGAGAAGGTGATGCAATTAAATAAAAATTGTGTGAGGTCTAAAAGCCGGCCACGATCTATATATCATTAAGTGACATCATACTAGCGGTATACACTCAAAGAGGGACTTCACATATTTTTTCCTAATGACAGTAAGGGCATATGTCCATCAAGGTCCGGATTCCATCACATTTACAATAGAGTGCTCTTGAACACGATAGTGTTGGACCCACTACTGAGCAGTATACTGAACGCTATATGCCAAAACACCAGCGTGTTGCAACTCTCGCTCCTCCCTCCAGATTCTCCCACTTCGGCCTGCTCATCATGTCTTCTCTTTTCGTACAGGTGTTACTATATGAACTCGCAAGGAGAATAGACTATATGAGAGAGGTCTACCGATATGCGTCCTAACTTATGAATCACCAAAGTCCCTTAAGCACTTCTACAATAGCCTTAAAAGGCGGCCATGTAATTTACGTAACCTGAAATATCAACTAGTCAATATCTGATAAAGGCCAACATAAAACATCGCTTTTGATCCCTCTTCCTGATCCCAAAAATATCCTGCATCTCCTTCTCATCATGCTAGCCATGCTTGAATATAATTATATATCACCACCCAACTCGCTCCTCCTAGTCCTCTGGCTGTTCTCGCGGGAAAAAATTTACTCATTTTTAGTCTTTGGTGATCTCTCTAAGATGTAATACTGGTGGCGGCTTGTTAATATACAAGGCCCCTTGGGTGCTATAGAAGAGTGATCGTTGTCTGTAAGAGCTCATACTTTTAATAAATTATTGCATTCAAGCCATCTACAAGCCTGAGACAAGCAGTTTTTTCTCAGTCTCGAGAGAAGTAACGCCATTTGCTCATTTCTAGGCTTCTTCTTCAATCGAACGCGTGATATCTCTCCATATCAAATTTCGTCGTCACAGGCTCCAGCCTGCGCGCATGTTGCTCTAGTCCTTCTCGCGATAAACCCCTTACCTCCACTCTGCGCTGACTGCTAGTCGATTCGAATATTCTCTGGTATCAAAAGTCCTCCTTCAACTGTAGAGTTTCCCATCTATCTAAAGCTGACTCTGAAATGTTGATTACTCACTATCTGCTTTGTGAGCACCAAGCCTCAGCCTTCTCAAGCACCGGTACCAAATGCTCTCATTGACTGCCCGATATCTCTAATATGCACGACAGACTCACCCTACTTTATTAGCTCATATCAAGAGATGCTAATGAAGACATTGGATCCCATCAAGAAAGTCACTTCTTCATCCGTTCCCTCGTTCATATTGTCAAAAATAAAACTACGCTTACTATGAGTGAATAACCAAAATTCACTTCTCTGAAAGATCTATGCATCTTAGGTTTTTCACACTCTACTCAAGGAGATTTCGAATGGCTCCCTATTCCAAAGTACAAGTGTGGCACGCTATTAGTGACGCACAAATCATGCCCTCATAGATACCTAATAGCCAGAGCTCTTCTCTTCCAAGACTCTTTAGATTCGCGCGGAACATGGGGCTGTTCTTTCATAATTTCTTATCCAGATCTACGATACATACTCCCTTTGACCTTACAGCAGTATTAGATAATGATTCTTCTTATGCCTAGTCTAAATCGGCCTCTTTCCTACCCTTCATAAGAGAATCTGGGAAGAGACTTACTCTTCAGAACTTCCTCACCGTTGGTCTCCCTCCGTTTCCCTTTTGGGCGTTTTTCCTATTGGTTTATCTTCTCCAGAGAGCTTTTCATATCCTCAACTAAAAATGTATTTATTCCCCATTCTACTACGAATATAGCGGTAAATAGTGACGATACCTTTTCTCACAAAAAAGTTAATTGTCTTCTCCATTTTTCAATATTAATCCTTAAAATTTGTAAAGACTTTTTCCAATGAGACAGTAGGGATTGATTTTAATTTCATTATCGTTTTCGAGTCATCAAATACATCAAGTTAGTCAGTGTGATTATTATCTATCAATGTGCATTGATCATTCCTAAGGGGATTCATGTTCTCTTCTGCAGGGTTCTATCGAATTTCTTAAATTTAGACTAGGCAATGGCATCTCCGAATCAATTCTACTCTATTTGCCATTATAATTTCTTTCAGGAAACTTTTTAACAAGTTCATGATAGGTTCAAAGTCATAAACCTTCCTTGTATCTCATCTGGGGTATATATTCGAAATTCGGCCTACTTTTCAAGAATTCATTACCATCTCATTATAGGTCACAAGGTTTCATGCTTCGACATTATCCCATTCCATTCTTTCTCGGATTTGCTACTAATTTCCCCTCTGCGGGGAAATTCAGGTCCAAGGTCTCCCAACTAACGTATCTCGGAAATAGTCATCCGTTTTCCTCCCCTCTCCTCTCTCTTTCACTCTGTTCACATACAATCCTACCCATGCCTCCCTCATCGACGCTGAATCCTTTTGAATTATGCGGGAGGTGTGCACCTTTTAGGTCTCTGGACGATTCCACTGATTTATTATTTCTCTACAGCTTCCCTCTTTCAAATATTTGCTAGCACACACATTCGTATCTAGCTATGCAAAACTATCTTTTCAAAATATCCAGTGAGCCCCCTACTTGGCGATTGAAGTTCCACTTCACTCCATTAACGGACCTCCCACATATTACTCACGTGGGCTCTCCGGCCTTTTTAAGAATTGGACGCGTGCTATTTCAGTCTTCCTTAACTCCACATTTAACATCTCCTCTCTAGAAGATGTGTTCTAGAGGGGACATAAATCGTTTTCCTCCTCCAGGATCTCCACCTGCCGAACTTTCTCCTCCCCCTCTAAGGGGTTCGGGATTTCCTCCTCAAATGCCTCGTCCTCAATGCCTCAGGGTTGTGAAAGATCACTTTCTTCGACTCCTTCCACTTTTAGTGGCATGGGTTCTGTTCTGCCGTTTCTTTTTACCGTGATTCACCCCATTTAATCTTTTTCGCTTTACTTCACTCGGTTTTCTCCTCCGTTTACTTCCAATGTCGCCTGAATTGGTCTTCATTTCAAGTAATTTCTTCATCATCTCTTCCATCACGGCGAACTTTCCCTCCAACCTTTCATTGTTGGAGGTGATTTGATTTTGGAAATCGAAAAATCTTCCCTCCAAATCGGATTTCAATTGTCCGATTTCGCCTTCCAAAACTTCCATCTTCTTTCCGGCCATCGTTCTTTTAACGGATCCCAAAAAATCTTCTTCCGGAAACGATAAACTTGCTGAAATTTCAGAATTTCAGCCGCCGGTGGTCCCAAATCGACGCTCTGATACCAATTTGATAGGTAACACTTGTAGATC